CTTTCAAAATTTTTCCCCTTTAAAAACTTGTCCCACCCACCCTTTTCACATCGCAACACTATATTCTCTATGTCTAGCATTTTATTCTAATTCTGGAAAAAAAACTTTCAGGAGTGAGTGACCGTATCAAAAAAATATGCAAGGCCCCCAGGGGCCGTCAACCCTCAAACCACAAAATTTGGGGATAAACTTGCCTGGGGAATGGCGGGGGCAGTTTGCCAGCTGCTATGACGAAGTCATCGTATGTAGACCTTAAAACCCTATTTTGGGGATCCTTCACCCCTATGTTTATAACCAAAAATTCTATACATCCCGTTTTTCATGCGATTCATTTCACTGATGTAGATACACTTTACTTAATACAAATTATTTATATGTATAATGGCACACAACGTTTTGGACGTCACTTTTTCAGGCCTACCGCTGCCAAAGTGGCAACAGGGCCCAAACCCCCAACGGTTTTTCGCTTTGAAAAATTATGATTTCGTTTTCCCCTCACTTCTTTAATAATAAATTTAATTATCACCGTAGATTGTTCATGACGTTCCCTACCATGATTACTGTAACTGTTTTTGCACCCTTACAACGCTAAGTTCTCGGGGCCTTGTTCCCCCGTCTGCACCCCACGGACCCACGGTGGTGTGAAACTTCGATTTTCATTTTTTTAAAATTTTTTCCGGAGTTGTGAGAACAATTCGACGAAAACTGAAACAATATTTCCCCAAAAAAACAATGTAAATCCAATTAAAACCATTTTTAGACACCCAAAAATAAACAAAATAAATTTTATTTAGAATAACTATGGTTTTACATACGAAAAAAATGAGACATAAAAAAAAACACTAAAGAAATGGATAAATGACTTTAACATCACTTTTTCTTTAATTGAAGACTTTGTTGGGGTATGGGAAAACAGCGAGGAGGGGGGAGGGAAGGGGGGTTATCTTCCACCCTCACCACCATCACAACCAACCCCCCCTACCACCACAAACCCCTAAAACCCCCACCAAACCCTCACTACCATCACACAAAGGAAGCTGAGGTTGCTACGCTTGAGACAGTTATACACTTTAAACGGGTATGATGCACCTCTGCATTCACCTCCCCCCCCCACCCCTGGCCATATCCCTCTGTACACCCACAACAACCCCCTTGCTCCAAACCCCGCCCTACACCAACCCTTGGCCCTTTTCTTTCTCATCTTTTACTCAAGCTCCCCCATAAATTTTAGCCCTTTTAAACCCCAATCCCACCCACCCCTTTTTTACAGCCCCCCACCCCAATATGATACCAGCCCCCATAATTTATGCCCCCCCCAGCGAACACTTCTTTCTCATCACCCACATTAACATTCTGCCCCCACTAGGGGCCCCAAACTGCCCCCCACATAGCACCATCAACCACTTTGTCTTTCCCCTCCCTCCCACACCCCCTTTAAAATCAAATCATAGGTTGATGTCAACAAAAAAGACTTGTATTAGTTTCGCACTAACCAGGTTTTTGGTATTCGCACTAGGGTTCGGAACATATTCCCCGCAGATACGGGGGGCCCTTGTGTAGTTTCCACAGTTTTTTCTTCTTTATATCAGCATACATATCTTTATAGCATTGAATATCATTTTGTAATATTTGCCTAACTCTAATTCTTTGTTCAGTATTTGGATCCGCGTTCGTTATGAGGTCACAGCATCATCTACTTTCGTAATTAACGTCAGTAGTTCATCCAGTGTGAATTCTTTCAAGGGCAGTATAAATGTACTCTTATTAAACAGTAAAATCAATTAACTTAAAAATATAAACATAAAATATTTTTAAAATGCATGAAAAAAACATCACAAATCAGTATGCAGTCCTAGCCTTAGACACATCCACTTGCACACATTGAGACAGTGAGTAGAAAGAGAACACAGCCAGCCAGGTCCAGTTTATGTATTGTACATTACTCATATGTGTGAGTGTCCTGCATATGTTCAGTCACAGCTAAAATGAGCGACATTCAAAGACAAAAGTACTGCCAAGCAGAAGAAAACTGAAGAACCATACGGTACACAAAGACAAACACTGGAAATCAAGGATTTCGATGGAAATCAAGGAACAAATGGAAATAAGTCACTTTGACTTATTTTGGGTTATCCTAAGTAATTTACACACCTTACTATACCTTTGATATCCTTCGAAGAGTTTCGGGAGTTTAACTACTCTTGGAGGCCGGCCATGGGCCAGGCTCGTCTGGTGCTTGCCTGGTCAATCAGGCTGTTGCTGCTGGAGGCCCACTGCCCCACATATCCATCATAGCCTGGTTGATCTGGCACCTTTTGAAGATACTTGTCCAGTTTCCTCTTGAAGGCTTCTACACTTGTTCCAGCTGTGTTTCTGTTATCTTCTGGTAAGATGTTGAATAGTCTGGGAACTCGGATGTTGATACAATGTTCCCTTATTGTCCCCATCGCACCCCTGCTCCTCACTGGGTTTATTTTACACTTCCTCCCATATCTCTCACTTCAGTATGTTGTTCTGGCAGTGTGCAGACTTGGGACCAGGCCCTTGAGTACTTTCCAGGCATATATTATCATGTATCTCTCTCTCCTCCGCTCCAGTGAGTACATGTTCAAGACTTGAAGGCGTTCCCAGTAATTTAGGTGATTTACTGGCTCAGTGTGAGCCGCAAATGATCTCTGTGTTTGTTCCAGCTCTGATATTTTTCCTGCTTTGAACAGGCCATCAGCACTGAGCAATATTCTGAATAAGGGAGCACTAGCGATTTGAAGAGTGTCACCATCAGCATTATTTCCCTTGTTTTGAAAGTTCTCAATACCCACCCCATCATCTTCCTAGCTGTTGTGATCTTTGTCTTGTTATGTTCCTTAAAAGAAAGGTCAGCTGACATAATTATTCCCTGGTCTTTTATGTGTTCCTTTAATTCTATTTGGTGACCCTCTTGAGTTTTGTATATACAGGTACCCTCCGACTTACGACGGAGTTCGGTTCCGAGAAACCGGTTGTAAGTCGATATGGATGCAAGTCGAACCTTACTACTGAATATCAACATCACATTTTTGTAATGACTTTATTTTATTGTTTTATTTTGGTATTTAATTTTTTACTTTACTTTTTATGCTGTTAGTACTGTATTTTATACTGTAAGGTTTAGGATAAACACTGTGTACACCACAAACAGTTGTTTATTTCGCAGAAACTTGGCATAGAAAACAAGGTCGTAAGTCGAATGGTTGTATGTCGAGCAGGTCGTAAGTCAGATGGTAGATGTACAGTGGACCCCCACCTTACGATATTAATCTGTTCCTGAGAGCTCATCATAAGCCGAAATTATCGTTAGCCGAATTAATTTTCCCCATAAGAAATAATGGAAATCAAATTAATCCGTTCCTGACACCCCAAAGTATGAAAAAAACAATTTTTTTTACCACATGAAATATTAATTTTAATACACACAAACTGAAGAAGACATGCACAATTACTACTCTACTAAGAATAGAATACATGACACTTACCTTTATTGAAGATCTGGTGATGATTGATGGGATGGGAGGAGGGGAGAGTGTGGAAGTTATTGTTTAGAAGGGGAATCCCCTTCCATTAGGACTTGAGGTAGCAAGTCCTTTTCCGGGGTTACTTCCCTTCTTCTTTTAATGCCACTAGGACCAGCTTGAGAGTCACTGGACCTCTGTCGCTCAACAAATCTGTCCATAGAGGTCTGTACCTCCCATTCCTTTAAGACTTTCCTAAAATGGGCCATAACATTGTCATTGTACAGGTTGCCAACATGGCTTGCAGTAGCTGTGTCAGGGTGATTTTCATCCGTAAAGGTTTGCAGTTCAACCCACTTTGCACACATTTCCTTAATCTCTCTTTTTCAATTCCATACTAATTCTCACCCTTTTTACCACAAGGATGGCACTAGAAGCTTTCTTGGGGTCCATGGTGACTTATTTTGCAGTTACAAGCACTAAAAACACTGGGATAATGTGAAATGTACCGAATGTATGCGTAGATGCGACCGCACTGGCTGGTTTGTGAACACTGGTGCTGAGGCCACACATGGGACGCGTCCCAGACGAATCATGTAAGGCGAGTTTTTTATCGTGAGGTGAGGCAAAATTTTTGCATTCAAATGCTTCATATGGCGGATTTAACGTAACGTGATGCATTCGTAAGGCGGGGTCCACTGTAGTGTTCCTTTTGAGTTCTTCATTCTTTCCATACCTAAGCAGCTGGAACTTATCACCATTGAACATCATGTTCTCCACTGCCCACAGGAAAACCCTGCTTATGTCTTCCTGTAATTTTTTCAGTTTCCTGTACAGTAGTGACTCTCATGCTTATTTTAGTTTCATCTGCAAATGATGATACAAAAGTGTGATGGGTGTTTTTATCTATGTCTGCTATGAGGATGAGAAACAGCAGAGGCGCTAGGACAGTGCCTTGGGGCACTGCGATTTTGACCTCGCTGATGCTGAATCTTGCTCTGTTAACTACGTACGTACTTCTTTTTGTGCTGTGTGTGTTAGGGACCCAAAAATCCGTCTGTCTACCTTCCCCGTAATGCCCATGGCCTCATTTAGTGCCTCTATCACTCCATGATCGCATTTGTCAAATTCCTTTGCAAAATCTGTGTAAATCACATCTGCATTTTGGTCATTCTTCCAATGCCTCCGTAATTCTGTCATAATGGTTCAGCAGCTGTGACAGGCATGATCATCCTGCTCTAAAACCATGCTGGTATGATATATGATAATTTGTGTAAGTGTATTTATGTATACCTGTACCTAAATAAACTTAATAATTTGAAACTGTAAGTGATGATGTACGAAAAACAGAGAGAAAGAGTCTTGTTTGCCGTAAAATCCAATAAATAATTTTTCTTCATTAAATTTATAAACCCTATTATTTCAAAACCCATACTTTTCAAAACCATACTATGCAAGGTATTGCACTACTGTGTATTTGTTGTTGTGTCAACATGTTTTGTAAATGTACAGATGACATTATTAGTATGGGTGTAGTTACATACAATACCCATGTCTTATGGGACATGCAAGTTTCTGGAAAAAATTAGAGAACCTCAATAAAAAGTACAAAATAATAAATATAAACAAGAGGAGCAAGCGGCAGTTGCTGATATTGCAACCAGCAGATCATTGACCTTGAACTTCATTCTTTTATATCTTTGTAAGTACTGCTGGGAAAATGTTTTCCTTTTATTTCTTTACCACCAGAAAATGAACTCTTTTAATCTATTAGATTTTTTAACCCTTTAACTGTCTAGAACTCCAAAATTAACCCTTTCAGGGTTTCGGCCATACTAGTACGGCTTACGCGCCAGGGTTTTTGACATATTAGTACGCCTAAATTCTTGCGCCCTCAAATCTAGTGAGAGAAAGTTGGTAGGCCTACATATGAAAGAATGGGTCTATGTGGTCAGTGTGCGTGGTATAAAAAAAAATCCTGCAGCACACAGTGCATAATGAGGAAAAAAAACTCCGACTTTTGTTTTAATTAAAATGCCGAATTTGTGGTCTATTTTCTTATATTATTTATGGTTGTATTCTCATTTTCTTGGTCTCATTTGATAGAAATAGATGTGATTTTGATTGGTTTTATTATGAAAAGAACCTTGAAATGGAGCTTAAAGTAGGGGAAATGTTTGATTTTTGCCGATTTTCAAAAGTAAACAAATGATGTCATTGTCCAATAACTGTCCAAGTAGCCATTCTAATATGAAGTCATGAATGGGTTGACATTATTTATGCAATTATTACAATATAGCAGTAGTCTGCATAACAGTAAATCTTCGATTTTTTGTTTGAATAAAAGTTCAAAATAGAAAGCAAGAGTAATATTGGAGGGGCCTGGAGATGTGACTGATGAACAAAGAAAATGTTATTTTAGGGCCAGGAATGTCTGCATTGTTCATTCTGGACCCTATTTTGAGATTGTCATATTTTTTAATTTTCGTGAAATTGGCCAAATTGCTAGTTTCTGACCACATTATTGGGTAGTTGAAATCAGTAAATGGGCAGTTTCTTGTACTCAATTGATAGAAAAAATGGAGTTCTAAAGAAATAGCTATGAGTTTGGTCGACTGGAACAATGGAATTAACTGAAAATAGGGCTCAAAATGGGAAAAATCGCCAATTTGTAAATATCGCCTAGGTCACTAACTTTGCGAGAGCATAATTCCGCCAGTTTTTCATCAAATTTCATTCTTTTGTTGTCATTACAATCAGAAAAAAATTCTCTATCATTTCATAAGCAAAAATATTTTTTTTTCGGAAATTTTGCGACACCAGGAGACACCTCAGAATTTGGGGTTGCGACAGTCAAGGGGTTAAATGTCGTAGTAGGTGGGGTGGCCATGTGGGCTACCATACCTCCCACATGATTTTCTATGAATAAATACTTTTCACCTCTCACCCTACATTAAGACCATTAAGACTACAAATATTTTAAGGTAAGTAATGAGTGTACTGTATATGCATTTTATCACTCAAGGACACTTTAAGCATCTTAGTATATTATGTGTGGGTGGGGTGGCCAGGAGGGCTACCATACCTGCCCACACCTGACTTTTTTTATTTTTTTTTTATTAACACACTGGCCGATTCTCACCAAGGCAGGGTGGCCCGAAAAAGAAAAACTTTCACCATCATTCACTCCATCACTGTCTTGCCAGAAGGGTGCTTTACACTACAGATTTTAAACTGCAACATTAACACCCCTCCTTCAGAGTGCAGGCACTGTACTTCCCATCTCCAGGACTCAAGTCCGGCCTGCCAGTTTCCCTGAATCCCTTCATAAATGTTACTTTGCTCACACTCCAACAGCACGTCAAGTATTAAAAACCATTTGTCTCCATTCACTCCTTTCAAACACGCTCACGCATGCTCGCTGGAAGTCCAAGCCCCTCGCACACAAAACCTCCTTTACCCCTCGCACACAAAACCTCCTTTACCCCCTCACACACAAAAACCCCCTTTACCCCCTCCCTCCAACCTTTCCTAGGCTGACCCCTACCCCGCCTTCCTTCCACTACAGACTGATACACTTGAAGTCATTCTGTTTCGCTCCATTCTCTCTACATGACTTAAGAAATCGTAATGACACGATTGCAAATAAACCATACCCCCGGCCGGATTGAACCCGCGGTCATAGAGTCTCAAAACTCCAGCCCGTCGCGCTGGAGTTTTGAGACTCTATGACCGCGGGTTCAATCCCGGCCGGGGGTATGGTTTATTTGCAATCGTGTCATTACGATTTCTTAAGTCATGTTGACGGCAGTTAAGGGACTTGAGCTAGAGTTCGTCACGGCCACGCTAGCTGGAGATTCGTCTGTAAAAACTTGCATTTGTGGTCACAGAGGTGCCTGTGCTAACTTTCCTATGGTGTAGAAATATACCTAGTTGGATGAATCTTATTGTGGCTAGCTGGTCTAGTGGCTAGCGCGACGGGCTGGAGTTTTGAGACTCTATGACCGCGGGTTCAATCCCGGCCGGGGGTATGGTTTATTTGCAATCGTGTCATTACGATTTCTTAAGTCATGTTGACGGCAGTGAAGGGACTTGAGCTAGAGTTCGTCACGGCCACGCTAGCTGGAGATTCGTCTGTAAAAACTTGCATTTGTGGTCACAGAGGTGCCCTGTGCTAACTTTTCCTATGGTGTAGAAATATACCTAGTTGGATGAATCTTATTGTGGCTAGCTCGTCTAGTGGCTAGCGCGACGGGCTGGAGTTTTGAGACTCTATGACCGCGGGTTCAATCCCGGCCGGGGGTATGGTTTCTCTCTACATGTCCGAACCACCTCAACAACCCTTCCTCAGCCCTCTGGACAACAGTTTTGGTAATCCCGCACCTCCTCCTTACCTCCAAACTATGAATTCTCTGCATTGTATTCACACCGCACATTGCCCTCAGACATGACATCTCCACTGCCTCCAGCCTTCTCCTCGCTGCAACATTCATCACCCATGCTTCACACCCATATAAGAGTGTTGGTAAAACTATACTCTCATACATTCCCCTCTTTGCCTCCAAGGACAAAGTTCTTTGTCTCCACAGACTCCTAAGTGCACCACTCACCCTTTTCCCCTCATCAATTCTATGATTCACCTCATCCTTCATAGACCCATCCGCTGACACGTCCACTCCCAAATATCTGAATACATTCACCTCCTCCATACTCTCTCCCTCCAATCTGATATCCAATCTTTCATCACCTAATATTTTTGTTATCCTCATAACCTTACTCTTTCCTGTATTCACTTTTAATTTTCTTCTTTTGCACACCCTACCAAATTCATCCACCAATCTCTGCAACTTCTCTTCAGAATCTCCCAAGAGCACAGTGTCATCAGCAAAGAGCAACTGTGACAACTCCCACTTTGTGTGATTCCTTATCTTTTAACTCCACGCCTCTTGTCAAGACCCTCGCATTTACTTCTCTTACAACCCCATCTATAAATATATTAAACAACCACGGTGACGTCACACATCCCTGTCTAAGGCCCACTTTAACTAGGAAATAATTTCCCTCTTTCCTATGTACTCTAACTTGAGCCTCACTATCCTCGTAAAAACTCTTCACTGCTTTCAGTAACCTACCTCCTACACCATACACCTGCAACATCTGCCACATTGCCCCCCTATCCACCCTGTCATACGCCTTTTCCAATTCCATAAATGCCACAAAGACCTCTTTAGCCTTATCTAAATACTGTTCACTTATATGTTTCACTGTAAACACCTGGTCCACACACACCCCTACCTTTCCTAAAGCCTCCTTGTTCATCTGCTATCCTATTCTCAGTCTTACTTTTAATTCTTTCAATAATAACTCTACCATACACTTTACCAGGTATACTCAACAGACTTATCCCCCTATAATTTTTGCACTCGCTTTTGTCCCCTTTGCCTTTATACAAAGGAACTATGCATGCTCTCTGCCAATCCCTAGGTACCTTACCCTCTTCCATACATTTATTAAATAATTGCACCAACCACTCCAAAATTATATCCCCACCTGCTTTTAACTTTTCTATCTTTATCCCATCAATCCCGGCTGCCTTACCCCCCTTTCATTTTACCTACTGCCTCACGAACTTCTCCCACACTCACAACTGGCTCTTCCTCACTCCTACAAGATGTTATTCCTCCTTGCCTATACACGAAATCACAGCTTCCCTATCTTCATCAACATTTAACAATTCCTCAAAATATTCCCTCCATCTTCCCAATAAACTCTAACTCTCCATTTAATAAACTCTCCTCTCCTATTTTTAACTGACAAATCCATTTGTTCTCTAGGCTTCCTTAACTTGTTAATCTCACTCCAAAACTTTTTTCTTATTTCAACAAAATTTGTGATAACATCTCACCCACTCTCTCATTTGCTCTCTTTTTACATTGCTTCACCACTCTCTTAACCTCTCTCTTTTTCTCCATATACTCTTCCCTCCTTGCATCACTTCTACTTTGTAAAAAACTTCTCATATGCTAACTTTTTCTCCCTTACTACTCTCTTTACATCATCATTCCACCAATCGCTCCTCTCCCTCCCGCACCCACTTTCCTATAACCACAAACTTCTGCTGAACACTCTAACACTACATTTTTAAACCTACCCCATACCTCTTCGACCCCTTTGCCTATGCTCTCATTAGCCCATCTATCCTCCAATAGCTGTTTATATCTTTCCCTAACTGCCTCCTCTTTTAGTTTATAAACCTTCACCTCTCTCTTCCCTGATGCTTCTATTCTCCTTGTATCCATCTACCTTTTACTCTCAGTGTAGCTACAACTAGAAAGTGATCTGATATATCTGTGGCCCCTCTATAAACATGTACATCCTGAAGTCTACTCAACAGTCTTTTATCTACCAATACATAATCCAACAAACTACTGTCATTTCGCCCTACATATCTTGTATACTTATTTATCCTCTTTTTCTTAAAATATGTATGTATTAACCTATAACTAAACCCGTTTCTATACAAAGTTCAATCAAAGGGCTCCCATTATCATTTACACCTGGCACCCCAAACTTACCTACCACACCCTCTCTAAAAGTTTCTCCTACTTTAGCATTCAGGTCCCCTACCACAATTACTCCCACTTTATGTGTGATTCTTTATCTTTTAACTCCACTCCTCTTGCCAAGACCCTCGTATTTACTTCTCTTACAACCCCATCTATAAATATATTAAACAACCACGGTGATATCACACATCCTTGTCTAAGGCCTACTTTTACTGGGAAATAATCTCCCTCTTTCCTACATACTCTAACTTGAGCCTTACTATCCTCGTAAAAACTCTTCACTGCTTTCAGTAACCTACCTCCTATACCATACACCTGCAACATCTGCCACATTGCCTCCCTATCCACCCTGTCATACGCCTTTTCCAAATCCACACCTGACTTCTTACAGTAAATACTACTCGCCTTTTGCCCTACATTAAGACTACAAATATTTTGAGGTAAATAATGAGTGTACTGTGCATGTGTTTTACTTTTTATTGTTATTTAATGCCTAGTTCTACTGCTGACTTAATATATGTTACTGTAGACTTCTTATCTGGCATTTATGTGCATTTATAAGTGGAGAAAATGGCGTTCTGCTTTCCGGCGATGTCTACTTTGTGGCTGTAGCCTGGAACCTAACCTGCTGTGTAAGTGGGGCCTTACTGTACTTCCAATCCTGAAACCAATCAAAATAATCTTTAATTCTGTAGTATATCTTCTCCAAGGGAGGTTCCTTGATGATGGTGAGGGGCTCTTGAACCAGGGAAATGGATCTATGCTCCAGTTCCCTGAATTCAGCCTAAATGCCTTCCATCCCTCCTCTGCCCTCCCCAGGCCCTGTATAATCCCTGCGGGTTTAGCGCTTCCCCATGATTATAATAATTATTCTGTAGTATATGTTCAGTTCTATCAAACAATATCAAGAAACAGCCAGTAAAGCCATTAAAACCATCCAAGAAAATGCTTCAAGATCACTATTTTAAACCATAAACATGGTCACAGTACAGCCTCTCCTCACTGACCGATGTACTCATTTACCGACAACTCGGACTTATGACGGGCTCTCAGACCAGTATGCATACCTAAATAATGTATATTAGAGTTGATTTCCTCAATTCTGTTTATTATAATATACAGTACACTACTGTATGAACATTTAACCCTTAAACGGTCCAAACGTATATATACGTTCACGCGCGTAGCGCCCCAAATGTATATATACGTTTTCTTTGTCATTCTTTCAACATTGCCACGATAAGCCTGAGTCACCTAGACATGAGAGGATGGGTGTGCGCACTCACTGTGCGCCATATTAAAATAATTGGGGATGCCTGGGTACCATATGCTCTTTTTTCCTTTTAAAAAAGATTTTTTTTTTTCTCAAAAAATTTGGGGCGCTACGCGCGTGAACGTATATATACGTTTGGACCATTTAAGGGTTAAAAGCATACTAAAACTGTTATAAATGGTGCAAAGTTGTTATTAAAGTAATAACAAAGATAATTGTTACAAACCCTCTACCATTACAAAATGTATAGTATGCTCGTCGTTTAGTGACAATTTCATTTACTGATGTGGTCTTAGGAACGGAGCTCTGTTGTTAACCCGTAAGCGGTCCAAACGTATATATATGTTTTTTTCAACATTTGAAGGTATGTAAAAAAAGTAGATCTTCTTTTTGTTTTTTTACATTTGAAAATGTGTAAAAAAACTTTGTCTACTTTTTTTTTTGTTATATTTGAAAATATGTAAAAAAAAAGTAGATCTACTTTTGTAGCACTACACATGTGAACGTAGATCTGCTTGGACCGTTTACGGGTTAAGTGAGGAGAGGCTGTATTGTTTTTCCTATCATGCACTGGGCGAGGCAGGATTTTTTTTATACTGTGCACACTCGCTATACAGATCTATTCTCTCATATCTAGGCCAGAATTTACCACTCACAGCTTTCCTGAGTGAGCTGAGCTCATGATGAACTACATGAGGGACCCTTGCCTCAGTGACATACTAGTTCAATTTGACGGCCACTGCAAGAGTAAAATTTGGAAATTGAGAGCAGTTTTAATTTTGGGGGTCTGGACAATGAAAAGGTTAAGGGACAGTGTTTAGTAAAGAAGCATTGAATTTTAAGAAGGAAAATTTCTACATGACTATTGTTCAGTTCTCTGGCAATAAATATTTCTTATTGCCATTATAAGATTCTTCACTGATACCTCATTGTGGAGCCTGAATGAGATTTAATATTGTAAGTTGGTAATTTTGTTACTTTGTTAGCTAGGAAGCATGTGGACCCTGGTTTAGTCTTTAGTTTTGATCATAATATTAACCCTTTGACTGTTTCAGGCCCCTCTCTGAAACTGTCATTCTATGTCACTCAATTTTTAAAAAAAAAAAATTATTTTTTCTTATGAAATGATAGAGAATCTTTTCCCGATGGTAATGACACCAAAAGTTCGAAATTTGGTCGAAAACTCATGGAATTATGCTCCCGCGAAGTTAGCGGTCTCGGAGACATATGCGTATCGGCGATTTTGCCGACTTTGAGCCCAATTTTCAGCCAATTCCATTGTTCCAGTTGACCAAACTCATAGCTATTTCTTTAGAACTCCATTTTATCTATCAGCTGAGTACACGAAACCTCCCATTTACTAATTTGGACTACCCAATATGGTGGTCAGAAATTGGCAATTTGGCCAATTTCACGCAAAATAAAAAAGATGCCAATTTCAAAATAGGGTCCAGAATAAACAAGGTAGACATTCGTGGCACTAAAATAACATATGCTCTGTTCATTAGTCACATCTCTAGGCCCCTCTTATATTATTATTGCTTTCTATTTTGATTTTTTATTCATACAAAAAAATATAAAATTTACTGTTATGCAGACGACTGCATTATTGTAAAAATGGTATAAATAATATCAGTGCACTAGTGAAAGAATATTAGACTCCCCAGTTGACGTGTATTGGAAGTGTGGTGTGATTTATTTACTCTTGAACATTGGTAAAAATCGAACATTTCCGCTACTTTGAGCTCAGTTTCAAGGTCGTTTTCATCGTAAAAGTAATTAAAATCATATCTATTTCTGTAATATGTTTTCCATTTTATCACCTAAGACCATGAAAACGCGAATACAACGATAAATACTATACGAAAATACACCTCAAATTCGGCGTTTTATTCCAAAAAAACGATCAGAGTTTTTTTTTTCTCATTGCGCAATGTGTGCTGCAGGATTTTTTTTATGTGGTGCACACTGACCACACAGACCCATTCTCTCACATGTGGGCCTACCAGCTTTCTCCCACTTGATTTGAAGCCGCTAGAATTATTGAGTATATATACGTCAGAAACATTGGCTCGTAAGACGTATTTATACGTCGAAAACAGTCAAAGGGTTAATAGGTAGTATGTGAAATGTTCACTTGTATTGTCAGTGATTACGTACTTTGTAACAACAGCAGCAACAATAATAATAATAGTTTATCACAAAATATAATTGTCTTTGAAACAAAAGTTTAGCAATAGGTTAAAAATATTGCTGAAACTTTAAATTGCAGCTCTGCTAATCTGTGGTTCTTTTGTTTCGCAGCTCATCCTTTCACCAGAAGAATTACAGATATCAGCAGTGATATAAAAGCTGTTGTAAGTGGCAGAAGTAGTGGAGATATATAACTTCAGCAGTGTGGGTGGCGTGCAGAGGCAGTCATTCCCAAAGCTTTGAAGTTGGTCAGTCTTTTAGCCTAAAGCAGAAGCATAAGGCATCATTCCCTTCTGACATTTTTTCTTCTGATGTTCACATAAATGCAGCATGAGCCTTATGGTTATATAATTTTTTTATAAGTATATATATATTTTTTTCAACAAGTCGGCACTCCCACCGAGGCAGGGTGACCCAAAAAGAAAATCCCCAAAAAGAAAACACTTTCATCATCATTCAACACTTTCACCTCACACATGATCACTGTTTTTGCAGAGGTGCCCAGAATACAACAGTTTGGAAGTATATGCGTATAAAAATACACAATATATCCCTCCAAACTGCCAATATCTCAAGCCCCTCCTTTAGAGTGCAGACATTGTACTTCCCATTTCAAGGACTCAAGTCCAGTTATATAAAATAACCGGTTTCCCTGAATCCCTTCATTAAATATTACCCTGCTCACACTCCAACAGCTCATCAGGTCCCAAATACCATTTGTCTCCATTCACTCCTATCTAACACGCTCATGCACGCTTGCTGGAAGTCCAAACCCCTCGCCCACAACACCTCCTTTACCCCCTCCCTCCAACCTTTTCGAGGACGACCCCTATAATAAAAAGCCAGACTTAAGCCATATTAAAATGCACACAGGAGAGAAACCATATAAGTGTTCAGAGTTTCTAAAGGCCTTTTCACATAAATCGAGTCTTAATAAACATGAGAGGATTCATACAGGAGACAAACCCTATCAGTGCTCAGAGTGTCTTAAGGGATTTTCACAAAAGGCACATTTAGACACCCACTTAAGTGTTCATGCAGGTGGCAAACCATATCAGTGTTCAGAGTGCCTAAAGGCTTTTTCACGAAAATCAAATCTAATAACTCACCGGCGAGTTCATACTGGTGACAAACCATTTCAGTGTTCAGAGTGCCTAAAAGCCTTTTCAAATAAATCAAGTCTCACTAAACATGAGAGGATTCATACAGGTGACAAACCATTTCAATGTTCGGTGTGCCTAAAAGCTTTTTCAAATAAATCTGGCCTCGCTAAACATAAGAGAATTCATACAGGTGACAAACCACATCAGTGTTCAGAATGCCTAAAGTCTTTTTTACATAAATCAAGTCTCAATAATCATGAGAGCATTCATACAGGACATAAACCATTTCAATGTTCAGAGTGCTTAAAGGCCTTTTCAAGTAAATCAGGTCTTAGTAAACATGAAAGAGTTCATACTGGTGACAAACCATATCACTGTTCAGAATGTTTGAAGGGCTTTTCACAAAAATCAAGTCTAATAGATCACCTACGAGTTCATACAGGTGACAAACCATATCACTGTTCAGAATGTCTAAAGTGCTTTTCACGAAACTCGAGTTTAATACATCACCGGAGAGTTCATACTGGTGACAAACCATATCAGTGTTCAGAGTGTCTTAAGGGCTTTTCACAAAAATCAAGTTTAATACATCATCTAAGAGTTCATACAGGAGAGACACCATTTCAATGTTCAGTGTGCCTAAAGGCCTTCTCACAAAAATCACAATTAAGCACCCATATGAGAGTTCATACAGGTGACAAACCGTACCAGTGTTCAGAGTGCTTTAAGGCCTTTTCTGATAAATCAAGTCGAAATAAACATGAGATGGCTCATAAAGGGGAAAAACCACATCAGTGTTCAGAGTGTCTAAAAGCCTTTTCAGTAAAATCCTATCTAATAGACCATTTGAAAGTTCATACACATGATAAACCATATCAGTGTTCAGTGTGTCCAAAAGCCTTTAAACATAAATCAAATTTAAGTAAACATGAGAGAGTTCATACAGGTAACAAACCATACCAGTGTTCAGAGTGCCTAAAGGTTTTTTCCTACAAATCAAGTCTAAATAAACACAAGATAGCTCATAAAGGTGAAAAACCACATCAGTGTTAGTGTCTAAAAGCGTTTTCAGTAAAATCAAATCTGATAGATCATTTGAGAATTCTTAAAGGCAACAGACTATATCAGTGTTCAGTATGCATAAAGGCCTTTTCAAATAAATCGAATCTGAATAAACCACATCAATGTTCATAGTGTCTAAAAGGCCTTTTTAAGAAAAATAGTCTAATAGATCGCCCGAGAGTGCATGTACTAAACAAACCATATCTTCTCAGAGTTCATTAAAATCTTTTCCCTCAAATCGAGTCTAATACAGCACCTGAGAATTCATACAGGAGACAAGTAAACTACATCAGTGTAGAAGCCATATTAATGTTTAATGTCTCAAGATTTTAAAAGTATATCTTTAACATAACTGTAAAAATGTAATTAAATTTTTATTCCAAACAAGTATGCAGTTTTTATAAAAATGGGTGACATTTATTTCATACATTATGGAAAGCCTAGGATATACAAATAATTTTGGGAAGATGAAGCCTAGTACTTAAAAGTTCTTGACTGTATAGTCCTCTTCAAGGGGAGTTCCTTGCCTTGGTGAAGAGGCTCTTCATCTAAGGAACTGGAATTTTTTATCTTTTCCTCTGACCAAGCCTAACTACCCTTCCCCCACTCCTTTCCTCATCTCTTCCCCCTCTTTCTTTCCTACTTTGGTGGATCTCCCCTCCGAAATTCTAGCTCCTAGATTGGGGAAAGGGTGTTGTTGTTTGTCCCATTCTGTTGAGGCCCTTGGTGGTGGTGGTGTTTGCTGTGGAATCTGGATCATGTAGATGGGCTGATCCACCCTTCAGGGCCCAGGAGGGCGGCTTTTGATGACCTTTAGGTGGCGGGTGTACTTCTAGAGGCTGCCTGTCAGTTCCAGGAAGTGGTGGCATAAGGGGATTATGCCTTGCGGCGGATTTCTGACCGCTCTCTTTTTTGTCCGACGTGCCTTTTTGGATATGAGGTTGCTCTCCTGTATCATTGGTTTACTGGTGTGAAGGGTAGAATAGGGAATGTGTTCCATGCTGCATCTGCACTACTGACCATGCCGAGGGTCCACTTGGGCACAGATGGGAGATGTACGATCCCTTTCATTTCTCCTGAAAGTTATCCCTCTATGTTCCTCCCTGTCCATTTTTTATAGAAAAAATAAGAATAAACCTATCATGATGACCCATGTCCATGAACTTCCTCCTCCCAGACTCTGTGGCATCCCCTATTGATCCTGGTTTGCCATTGGACCATTCTTTGTACCTCTCTTCTAACCCAGTACCTTCTCTGTGTAAAATTTCCTTGCCCACCTCTGGTACTGTGGTTCAGATAGACCATTTTGACACCTCTGACATTTATGCTTTTTTGGCTATGATTCTGGCTTCTTCCCCTACAATGCATCGATTTTGGGGTTATACACTCAACTCAGGATGGTTGACCTCTGGTGCTCTGTTCAAATGACCTTAACAAATTCTTTGTGCTCCAACCAACTTTTGCTGACCATCTGCCTGACCACAGCATCAACAAGGCACTCCTTTTGCCATATTGGGCAAAACATTTCCTTCCATGTCCTTAAAAGTGGCTCACATATTGTAACAGAACAAAATGCTAAACAAGCACAAAATCTTTCACTTCTTATTGATATTGGGATATACCAGTTACGATTTGTAAGCACATCTCCCTTTATTCTTGCTGTGGAACTATTATCCTTCCACATACAATCATGCAATGTGACCTCCTCACAAGTAATGTAGACATTATGGAGCAACTTGAGCTTCAGAATCTTCTGATTGTACAAGTAAACACTTACATACTTCCTGCCCGTGGGCGAAGGGGCTGTTCATGCAATTTTGCGATGTTAACTTTTGACAGCTGTGAATTGCCACCTTCTGTTTACATAGGACAGTGTTTACAAGTGTGGGAGGTGATCCCTACACTGCAACAATGTAGAAATTGCTGACACTTTGGCCACATGGTAAAATATTGCAGGTCAGTAGCAGAATGCTTTATGTGGTTCAGTTGACCATAGCAGTCTATCCTGCAACCACCCTCCTACAAAACTTCAAAGAGGCACATCTTGCCTATTCTCGCCATTGCCTGGTATTCTTAAGAGGAAAGGATATCCTTTCTCTTAACGAGAAAGGGTTTCTCTCACACCATGGCAGTTTCTCATCTTTACCTCTTAGGGAGACTCCCATGGCTCTTATTCCAGGGTCAGTAGACAGACCTAGAGCTTGATGGTACCTGCTTCCACAATCACCTCTGTAACCCTTCCTTCCACAGTCACCTCTGTGTCCAACCCATTTTGTAGTCCTCATCTCAGACTCCAACCTCATTGTTTCTTACTGTCCCTACTTCTTTATCTTCCCATTCACAAATTTCTATGTATGTTCCTCCTCCTGTCTAAATCAGCTCCAAGTACCCCCTCTTCTCAAAAGTCAAAACCTTCATTTCAGTCCAAATCTCCTTCAACCCATCATTACATCGGGCACAACTGTCTTACTCATGGGTATCTCATGGAGAGGCACCCTATTCCACTCTGTGAGAATTGTCTGGTTCCAATTTTGGTTTGCAATATTCTATTAGATTGTCCTGCCTTTCAGTGAGCACACAGAATTTATCTCCAACAGCATCACTGCTTTTACACCCTATTTTATCTTCCTGCCTTGCTGACAGCCCCACCTTTGACACAGACCTCCTATTTTACTTTTTGACAGCAACTGATTTATAACACAAACTTTGATAATTCTTCTTTTAGCACTCCTAACAACCTTTTCTATCTCCACCTCTTATTATCCTCTCCACCCTTGCTATACTATGATCCTGCAACATCCCCTGCACTGCAGTGCTATATGACCCTAGTGGGGGTTTAGCATTTTTTTTGTTATAATAATAATTAACTAAAGAATTTATTAAACAGTATATGTCAGTCCTCACAAGTAACTGTACTATTCTAATAGTACAGATTTACTGAAATGAGAGAGATAAAAAAGGACCTGGAAAACACACTCAGATCCTGGGCACCCACAAACTGAACAAAGCTAGAGATATTGTTCTAACTAAACCAAATAAATGACAACTCCAGGCTATTGATACAGCTAACAGGATAAATGACTTCTTTTCATCCACAGGATCAAGTTTTGCCAGTAAAATTCCAGGCACTGGTACCTAAGTGAGTGATTACTTGTATGTACAGTGGACCCCCGGTTAACGATTTTAATCCGTGCAAGAGGGGTAATTGTTATGCGAAATAATCGTTATGTGAATGAATTTTCCCCATAAGAAATAATGGAAATAAAATTAATCCGTGCAAGACACCCAAAAGTATGAAAAAAAAATTTTTTTACCACATGAAATATTAATTTTAATACACACAAACTGAAAAAGGCATGCACACTTACATGACACTTACTTTTATTGAAGATCTGGTGATGATTGATGGGATTGGGAGAGAGGGAGAGAGCATTATCTTCTTACTGTTTAGAAGGGGAATCCCCTTCCATTACGACTTGAGGTAGCAAGTCCTTTTCCGGGGTTACTTCCCTTCTTCTTTTAATGCCACTAGGACCAGCTTGAGAGTCACTGGACCTCTGTCGCACAACAAATCTGTCCATAGAGCTCTGTACCTCCCGTTCCTTTACGATTTGTCTAAAATGGGCCACAACATTGTCATTGAAATAGTCACCAGCACGGCTTGCAACAGCTGTGTCAGGGTGATTTTCATCCATAAAGGTTTGCAGTTCAACCCACTGTGCACACATTTCCTTAATCTTTGAAGTAGGCACAATGGATTCCACAACTGGCATAGGCTTCTCAGGGTTAGCCCCAAACCCTTCAAAATCTTTCTTAATTTCCATACTAATTCTCACCCTTTTTACCACAGGGTTGGCACTAGAAGCTTTCTTGGGGCCCATGGTCACTTATTTTCCAGAAACAGCACCGAAAACACTGTAATAATACGAAATATTCCGAGTGTATGCTTGGATGTTACCGCGGAGGCTGGCTGGTAAACAATGGGACGGGCGGCACATGTGAGGCTGGCTGAGGGCACATTGGACGCGTCTCGGACGAAAATCGGTGAGCGGGTTTTTAATCGGTATGCGCGGCAAAAATTTTGCGATAAAAGTAAGCGGTATGCGGAAAAATCGCTATGTGATGCCATCGTTATGCGGGGGTCCACTGTACTTGTATGTACTTCCCAACATCCCTTCATCTTGCACCAACAGAGCCCACTAAAGTCACCATGATTATTAATTCACTTAAAAGTAAATCAGGAAATGTAGTTCATGTCCCACCATTATCATGCAAACGAGAGGCTTGTGTCTTCTCACCCACCATTATCTTATTTTTTAATGAATCACTAGAAACCAGCATTTTCTTGATATACTCAAGATAGCAAGGGTTACACCAATACACAAAGGTGAAGACAAAAGATGTAAACTCTAGGTCAATATCAAACTTGCCTTTACTATCCAAAATCATTAAGAAACTCATACACAAGAGATTATACTCCTTTATAACATCAGAAAACATTCTCAGCCCCTGCCAGTTTGGCTTCGGGAGAAAGAAAAGCACAAATGATGCAATTATAAAAATGCCATTACCTGCTTTACACAGCACTTGAAAAAAGTGAATATCTACTAGGACTTTATTGACCAAAGGAAAGCTTTTCATACAGTAGACCACAGCATCCGACTTCACAAACTTGATTATTATGGAATAAGAGGCCGTGCACTTGCATAAAGTCTTATAGACAGTACATCTCTATTAAGGATACAACCTCCTCAGCAAGACCTCTGGACATTGGCGTTCTGCTTTCAAGCGATGTCTGCTTTCCGGCAGTAGCCTGGAACCTAACCTGCCATGTAAGTGGGGCCCTAATGTATATTTTTAAATATTTATACAGTACATAGTGTGCTGTATATTGTAATAAACAGAATACAGGGAAGCCTCCTTGGCCCCCTCCTTGTCTTTTTATACATCAACAACCTTTCAAATGTATTGCAACAATGTAGACATAACTTTCGTCATCTCCCACCCTAGTCTTTCCTTGCTCAACGTTATTGTTAATGAAGAGATTGTAAAAATATCAAACTGGATGACGACCAATAAACTTACACTTAGCATTGACAAAAACCTATACGTACGTATTATGCTTGGAAGCAGAGTAAGCAATGTCCAAATGAACATTATGATTAAAAATACAGTGGACCCCCGCCTTACGATATTAATCTGTTCATGAGAGCTCATTGTAAGACGAAATTATCGTTTGGCGAATTAATTTTCCCCATAAGAAATAATGGAAATCAAATTAATCCATGCAAGGCTCCACAAAGTATGAAAAAAAAAAAAAATTTGCCACATGAAATATTAATTTTAATACACACTAACTTAAGAAGACATGCACTAAGAATACAATA